TTTGGATGTTTTCGTTGTCCCTGTGGAGATGAAAGCTGACATGCTGGCAGGTCGGCTTGAAGGACATGTATTGCGCAGTCAGAGGAAAGCAGCTTTGTGTTCAAGCTCTGGAGTGCCCCATTGCTACGATGTTGTGGAGACATCCAACTTCTGCTGATTTGCTCTTGTAACCCTCATGCTACGTTGTCCAACAGGTACATGTGCACAACTGACCCTGCCCAGTGCAGCACTGGTCCATGCCGGTGTGAGGATGCGTCGCACTTGCGCAAGGCATGGCCGACATTGTCGTCAACCGTTGCCTTTACTGAAAGCTGAAGTCCGAGCATGCTCGAGCATGCTAGAGCAAGCGGAGGAAATGCAGACGGTCAACAGGTCTTTATGCCATGTGTGGAGAGCTCAGTGCTGCTTGATCAGAGGACAACTTGACACATGCATTTTCCGAGGTGTGGGCCTCCTTTGCCTAGTTGTCCTATGCAGGAACCCTGGAAACGTCTGGCTTGAGCCGCAAAGTAGGTCAAGTGTTGAAGTCCATTACCTTGCTGTGGCAGGTTTTCAGATTCGTGTTCTGCGGGACCATGCGAGTGCCACGATGGCTTCGTCAAGGCCGCGGTAAAGGCACAATGCTTGTGCAACGCCGAGCCTGGTTTTCCACGATGCCAGATTCGCCGAGACGACGACTGTTTCAGCACCCTGCCTGTAGCATATTCTGTAAAATTGTAAAGCCACAGCCGTACAGCAGTCAGCACTGTACTGCAGTCCGCTTCTGTCACAAAGGCTGCCGACCCGGACCAACTCCTCCAACAGGTCCCGACCCCGCAGGTGTTTTCAGTTGATCATTGGAGCTGCAAAACAGTAATGGCAGGATTTGCATCGTTTCTGTCGTTTGCTTCGGCGGTTATCACGCCACTTTCTCAGAAGGGACTCTGCAGGACTTGAGACTCAGGTAGCGTGTGCAGCATTCAATTTAGAAGGCACTGTTGTTCGCAACATATACTCAGTGTGCTGCCTTGACCAGAGAGGTTTCTTTGCTGCGTTGCTCTTGGAGTTGCAGTTGGCTGTGCAATTCGGCGGTTCCTCGCTCGGCCCCCAATGACATGTTCCTTCCGTTTAGTGCTCCAAAGGCTTGGACGACAGATTCACATTCAATGTTCACATTCAATGTTCACATGTCGCGATGTCGCCCAACTTCTTGTTTCGTAACACGTGACTGGTCTCGCCAAATCCTTCCCCCTCTCCGTAAAAGTTTCCAAGCTGCAGAAGCCAGAAGATGCCAGAAGGTTGGAGACATCTCTGCCAGCGTGCGCCGTCGGCGTCGAAGCACTGCACCGAGGTCGCTCAGACTTGTGTTTTGCACCTCTTTAAGCAGATCGCAGACAGGCTCCCCATAAGATACCTCGGTGTGTTCTCAGTAGTACAGCATCCTCGTTTGTCTTTTTGCACCTTTGGCACATTTGAGTGCGGTTGGATTAAGGCAGTCGTGTAGTGCGTGTAAGTTGGTGGCGTATTTCGCAAGAGCAGCAGTGGCAGCTGCCAAAGGTGCAGCATAGTATGCCCAGCAAGTACATCAGGCCAAAGTACAATATCGCGGCAACTGAAGCCAAAGGTTCCGTTAGTCAGGGTGCTTCTTGGGCAGAAGTTTACCTCTCCGTGACCATGGCACAGACTTCGAACCGTGGCTTGCGCCCCACGTGCTTTTGCAGGAACTGGTCCGAACGAGTGACTGTTCGCTTGGAAGAGATGGTCGAGGCACATCGAAGCAAACGCATGCAAACACCATGTCGCAATCATGCCCAGAAGCTGTTGGCGGCACAGGCTTTATGTGAGAGCACCCGGACTTGGAAGCCGTGAGCTTTGACAGCGCAAAAGATAAATGCTTTGATTCAGTGATCAACCCTCTGAGGCCCTTGCGATCTGCCAGCACTGTCGTGAACCCTTCTCAGTGTACAGAGTTTGTTTGTCTGTTTCGGCAGAGATGTGAACCTCAGGTGCAACTTTCTGGACATGTGTGACGATGCCTTAGATCCCGTGTACACATTCTTTGAGAGTGGTTTGGTGATGCTGGCTCTTTTCTTGTCTCTTGGGTGTGCCGTAGCCACGACCACGACCACAGTAGCCAGGATGTCGTGCAGAACGGCATTGCCGCAATCTCCCAGGCCCATCTTTGAGAGCAGAGGGCCACTTGGGCATCGTGCATGAAGCAGCAACACAACGATTGTTGCTGGAACTCAAGGTAAGTCACAACATCACAGGCGTTCCAAGTTGTCAGAGAGGCTCTGATGATGCCTGAGCGTTTCTCGTGACAGGACAGATGTGGCAAGTGCGCGGCTGAGATGCTATGTCCTGTTCAAAGGGCTATGCCGAGGTGTCAAATGGCGAACGGGTCCAGCACGAAAGTTTTGAACGACAGCCCTACAACACCCTAAGCTTATGGAAGTCACCGAAGAAGCAAACCCTCATTCCTAAACCAAAGAAGTCAGACGAAGAAACGCCGTTTCGAGGTATAAAGGAAACGACAAAAACCCTGCGACGGACGTTCTTGTCGTGGCAGCTCCCCGGAACACACGGCGACTTACGATGTTTTCGGCCTTAGTGCCTTTTGGGGCGGGGTGCCACGCGGGGGTAAGGAACGACGCATTGGACACGCACACGGTTCAAACGGAACGTGACATGGATCAAGTGAGAACTATGGAGTTTCCCACTGAGTTGAGTGGTTCAGGTGAGGTTCGTCGGAGATCTCTCGTGTAGGGAATCTGACAGCTTGACGAAGTGGGCCAACACGTCCTTCCCTTGCGATCGGGCCTTGCAGGCTCTTTTGAAAAGCCCAGGAATTCCATGGTAACACTGTAAACACCCAAAAACAACACTGTAAACACCCAAAAACCAAGAAGGTTTCTAAGATACCAAGAGGGTTTGTAGGGGTTTAGCCGCCTTCGTGAGTCAAAGGTTCCCGGTCCCGAAGACACCAGAAAATTGCCAGAAAAGGTTGAGCCGCAGAGAATCGGATTACATCAGGTTTCCGGGTGGTCTGAGCCCTTGGAGGAGGGGTGGTTACGGCGGAATACCGGACATGGCTTTCACTTCCACGTTCTACGGTTGCCAGCATTGTCACCTCAACAACTCCAAAGCTTTGACCCGAAATTAAATGTCGCTGCGTCGCTGTGTCGCTGCAGCAGTGGTGCAAGACACGGATTTCGCCCCGGGTTCGGCATGCATAGCTTGCCACATGTCTGCCAGGAGAGCAGTGATTGACGAATCCAAGAGAGACACACGGAGAGATAGAGAGCATCACCGTGCGGAGCTTGGACCACCCGGTAAGGAGTGCGATACGCAATGTTTCACGACATGTCCTAAGGACACGCATCAGGTCAGAAAGCCTCAGCGAGGTGTTGGACTCATTGATGATTGTGATCCTTTTGCATGATGCAGTTCTGTTGTTTTGCGGTTTTTGCGTGCTTGCTTTCATCATACCACTGGCAGGGTGAACTGTAATCCCGATCGTTCACCGAGATGTTGCTAAATCTTATGGGTAGGATGCAGGATGCACCTTTGCTTTCAGAAGGGTATTGAATTATCAAGTTCCAAATGTTTGCCGATGGCCAGTGTCAAACGTGGCCAAAAGATCTCGCACCCGTTTGAACTCCTAGCTCCGAAGCCCAGCCATGGTCTTTGGCCAAACTTTGGCCCCTTCCCCAGACCTACTGGGTCAATCAAGAAGCACGTGGTAAGCACGCCAATTTCACCTATACTATACCGTTGATGTCAGGCTCCTACTGGTAAGAAACGATATTCACGTGCAGGTGCTGAAAGCATCCTAACCCCCGCTTTTTTTGGGATTGGCAAGCCCAGATCACAAGGTCTGGTGCAGGACACAGTGTTGTTGGGACATTTGATTTTTGTAGCAATGCCTGTGTGACTCGGTCTCGTTTGACCCAGATACCTGAGGAAGGCTTTCTTCCATTGCCTGGTAGCAGCACATCCAGATGCGTTCGTCCTGTGCTCACATAAACGATGTCTGTAAATACACACCATCCGATTGTTTCAACACCAGCATTCCCACCAGCTCGGCGTTTTTGGACGAGTGGGTCGGCAGAGAAACCTGCGTCCATGCTCGCCATCGCTTGAATCCCAAGCTTGTGCTTCTGGTTCTGGGATCTTGCAACGGGATGATGCCCATGAAAAGAGCCAGGCTCTCCCAAGCAACAGAACTTAATTAACTCCGTCCCTGCAGAGCAGCCGAGCTAGGCATGGTGCCTCTCAACAGGCTCATCCATGGAAGGACATCTCGGGAGTGTCCACAGCTTCGTGAAATCATGACCAGTGTGCTTGTCACAGGAGTCTCAGTTGAATGCTGGCAGTCTGCCGTGGGATCCTATACGTGCAACCCAAGAGGCGCGTTGTCGGCAAGCGTCATCTTAATGAGAGCAGTGTGACTTGAGAGAAGAAAGAGAAGAGAGCACGTCAGGGTGATGGCACCTGTTCCCCGGTGCCATCAAAGGACGGCTGCATGCCTTGATCGGCCCAATGTGCATGTTGTGAGACACGTTGCGTGTCTACACATTGGAGTCTGCATTTTACCTGCCAGCTTCCGACCAGGAGTGGGCAAGTGGTTTGGTGCCTGGATTGGCTCATCGAGAATCAGTTCGGCACTTGGATGTCCCAAGGCAGGTCGGAAGATTGGATGAAGCCGGTTTTCCCACCGAAGGCTCGCGCCACAAAGACTTCGCCTCCGCGACGCTGGCTTGGAAACAACGATGGAACATGGTGTAATCAGATCAGGCGTCGCTTCTGCAATGTTGCCAGGGTAACCAGTGCAGTGCAACGGCTACGACAACGAAGGGAGGCCAAGGCAAGTTGGTTTATTTGGCGACCTTGTGTGATTTTCAGATTTGTTTGCAAGCACGTAAGTGTGATCTGACCCAGCATTTCTGGAGTAGTGCGTATGTGTGTGTGCGTGTGGCTATGTCGCAAAAGCTTTGTTGACTTGCCTTGTAGGAATTTTGATGATGGGGCTGCACATCTTGCTGAGATCTGCTCGCAGGCCACAGCAGCGGCTAAGGCTGCGCAGCAAGTGGTGCAGCCACCTGCTGAAGAGGCTCTCGTTTGAAAATGGTGCCGCGGAAGACATGCCTCGTCAGCTGATGCTGCAGGAGCCGCCAGATGAATCATGGATTGATGCCATGGAGCGCAGAGAGGCAAAGGAGAAGGAGGCAATGGCAATGGAAAAGGCATGCAATGGCAATGGATTTGACTGTTGCAATGCAGTGGCCACACATGGGCAACACCGCAAATCAGAGAACTTAGAACCAAGCGGACGAACGCTTTACTTTCAGTTCTTTCTGCGGAAGTACTTCTTGATGTCGACGCTCTTTGCGCCAGGCAAAAGAACGCGCCGCTGCTCAGCGAAGGGAGCGCAAGCTTGCAGCCAGAGCAAGGCCGAGTTTTGGCAAGCACTTCGTGTGAAGTTGCTCGGTGATGTTGCTCGGAGTTGTGTGCAACCTAAATTGCATCGCGTTCGTCGAAGACATCGAATTTGCCATCAAGCTCTCAAGCACGTTGCAGGCGAACTCGGAATGGCAACGAAGGCTGGTGCAGTGACTGAACAGGGAGCTTGCTTGCACCATCTTGCACCCATGCGATTATGTAGGCAATCGGTAGTTATCTTTGGGGGCCTGCACGCCGTAAGTTGTGGCTCCGCACGATGCAGGATATTAGATATTCATGCTCAGCACAGCAACACATAAGTCAGGAGAAGTCTCAACTCCCATGTGCTCAGTTTGTGGCTCTGCAAGATGATGCTTTTTCTTTTCACGTTCCTTGCATGGAGGCATGGAGACCGAGACCGACCAGATTGATCACTCCACCCAGGCGTGTCGGGGGCAATGTTTTGGTTGGCCTGCCCTCTCTGAGGCTGCAAAATGTCAAACATGGGCGTAGTGGCAAAGTAGTCGAGAATGTTTTACAGGAGTTTAATGAGGAGACACGAGGTGTCGAAGATGTTCACAGGCCGATGCTCACTTTGGGCACGACGCGAGCATCCGCATTCACAGGTTTTTTTGGTCATACGTGGCAAAAGTGGACGCTCCCTGGCCCATCGCGATGTCTCACTGATGCTCGTGGGTTTGCGGCTTGCGGGGGTGTTCGTAAAAAATGCATGAACACGTGTGCCCAAAATCCATGCCCAGTTTCTGCCACCGACCGCCCGGCCGAGGATGCTGCGGGGGTGGGAGGCTGCGTTTGTCGAGGGCTGCCGTAGGGAGGTCAAAGAAGAATAAGGCTTCCCCAGACTCCGAGAGAGGAGCTCAGAACACTGGGGACACGTATTCAAGTTCAACACATGACAGTCTTGGCTCGACTGGTTTGTACGCGTATGGCAATCGTCACAAAGAGGAAGCAGGGTTCTTGGAACGAATCCAGGGCCGTGCTTCCACCTGCCAGCTGTGTGCTGAGCTGAGAATTCAGAGAAAAAGCAAGAAGTTTGATGTTTGGCATAGGCCTCGTGCATGCCCAGAAGCTGGCCTGGCAGCTAGGGGGGGGGGAGGGCGCGGCGGCGGTTAGGGTAACGGTAAGGCGGCATGGGGGGTGAGGGAGCAAGGGTAGGGTAGCGATGGGGGGGCGGGTTTGGCCGGCGGCTTGTGATTCGTTGTCCTTGCTGCTACCGGTCACTTGAGGTAGCCAGACTGCTAGCAAGATCGTGAACTTGAGGTTGAAGTGAGATTAAGGTGAGAAGCCGTGATGAGAGACGAAGAGCGAGGATCAACAGTGGGATGGTCTTTTTTGGGTTCCTGATGGTTCCTGTTTCTATATTTCGACATGTCTAGGGCCTTGGTGCCTCTTTCGTTTTGTCGGTCACTGCTTTGCTCCTCCATGTCGTTTTCTCGAACCTTTGGCTCGCCTTCCTCGATTCTTGTTCAGTCTGCCCTGCTTACAGCATGGCCAAAGCCGACAGATTGACGAGCTACACACTTTATGTGTATGCAGCGGAGCTAAGAAGAGTGTGACGAGTGGCAAGTCCAAACATGGAGAACTCGATAATAGTTGCGTGTGCAAATGAGAGTTATGTACCATCGAACAGTGCGGGACATTATGCTCATCCTCGTGGGCTCCCCCCCCACCACAATAAGAAAAGCAGGGCGCCGCAATAGTAAGACCATGGCAATGTATTGATTCTCTATTAAAAACATCTCTAGCAAGCCAAAAAAGATTCCTGCAGACAGATTTTTGACCCAGCCCGGAGAAATCTCCTTCAAATGTGGTGGTATTTCCCCATACGAAAACCCCCGCAATGGAAAGTAGTCTTGCAGCCCTGTTTTCGACGAAAACAGTTTCTTCTAAATGTGGAGGTATTAACTAAGCAGATGCTCGGATTGAGTTAGTCCTAGCACTGCCGGGGACTGCATGTATGTGCGAATGCAGCAAAAAAACATGCCATGTATGTATGTATGTATGCATGCAGGTATGTATGTAGGCATGATGGTATGTATGAGCGTGGAGAACGCGTCGACAGACCCCTATACAATCAGACCCTATCGTTTTTCGATAGGTGCCTATGCTGCGGGCCTTCCATCTAACCGTCAGAACCCTATGCACAGAAAGTGCCGGTTTATGTATAGACCTCTTTACATAGGGGCCTGCCACTTTGCCATAGACCCCAATGAATAGACCCTAACCCTACCCGTGCCACCCACCTATGTTGCCTAGACCCCTGTTCACTTTCCATAGACACCTACTACCCTGACGATAGACCCCATCCCGAAAGCATAGACCCCTATGCCGTATATTTGTATTCTTAAGAAACAATATCCCTAGCTGCATAATTGTGAGGGTTCTTTCTTTACATACATATTCTCCAGAAGCTCAAGGCATGCAGTGCTTCAATAAGCGTGAACAATTATTCTAAGGGGCTACGCCCAGGGGTGGGCAACGCCCCCAGGAGCAGGCAGAGGCATGCCAGCTCCCAAAGCAAAACCCCTCCCCCCCTCCCCCCGCGAGCCGCTGATGCTGCCGATGCTCGCCCTCCGGATCCCCAAGGAGAAACGAAGCCTCGATGATGCGCACCCTTGGCCCCCGCCCGGCCGCGCATCATGAGCATCAGCGGCTCCGGCCTCCAGGCATGCGTGGCTTATGGGGGCATATGCCGGCCTCAAAACGGAAATGTCCGTAACAGCACGAAAACCACGGTATTTACAGCGATTTATGCGTTTTCCAAGCTCGCAGCCGCATCCGAAACCCGAGACGCAACCATGATGCGCGTTCTTGTGGGGGTCCCTTGAAATGGCCGATGCCCCCCAAAAAAAAACATCAACAACGCGTCTTCGGCAGAAGTTAAAGAATAGAGTCAATGATGCTCTCCGGGGTCGTTTTTGGTACCCCCCGTCCAGCAGCCAAATTTCGGTGAGGAATAGCGCGTTTTTCGTGATAACGAAAGTGTACCTAAAACATGAAGACCTTCGGAAGCCGAATTTGGAGCCGGATGTCGGCGAGCCAACCGGGTCGGCGGCGTAGGCATGCCGTCCCATAGCTAAAGCTAGGGCTTCCGCCCTAGCGGGCACACAGAGGGGCGTTGTCCGATTGAAAGGTTGCCGCCAGAACCGCCGACCCCCTTACACAGCGTGGCACGCGGGTCTGCAGCAAAGTCAGGGTGGTTGCTCGAGACCTCAGTCGGCCGAGCCGCTAGGTGGTCGTGCTGGGGGCAGCAATAGAACATGATTCAACAAAGAAAAGCAGAAGGGGGGTGTGGAGATGTGGTGCTGGCGGTGCAGACGGGGGGGGGGGTGAAAAGCAGAAGGGGTGGGTGGATGTGGTACTGGCGCTGCGGTGGGCGCGGTTGGCGGGGTGGCTGGTGGGGCGGGCGGGGGCGGTGGGAGGGGGTTGGCGGGTGGTCGTGCTGGGGCAGCAATAGAATATGATGTGGTGCTGGCGGTGAGACGCAGAGGGGGGGGTGAAAAGCAGAAGGGGGTGGGGGATGTGGTGCTGGCGCTGCGGTAGGCGCGGTTGGCGGGGGCGGGTGGGGGCGGGTGGGGGGGGGCTTGGCGGGTGGTCGTGCTGGGGCAGCAGTAGGATTCAATGCTGGGGCAGCAACAGACATGGTTTAAGGCTGGGGGGTCTTTATGGTTTGGGGTGTTTAGGGTTTAAGGGCTTTTAGGGTTTAGGCGTTAGGGGTTTCCAGGTTTAGGGCGTAGGGGTTTGTAGGGTTGAGGTTTGAGGGTTCAGGGTTCAGGGTTTAGGGTTTAGGGTTTAGGGTTTTGGGTTTAGGGTTGAGGGTTGAGGGTTTAGGGTTTCGGGGGTGTTGAGGGGTTAGGGTTTACAGGTAGGGTTTAGGGTTTAGGGTCTTCAGGTTGTAGGGGTTTTTAGGGTTTAGGGTTTCGGGTTTTGAGGGCTGGGTTTGGGGGTTTGTAGGGTTTAGGGCTTAGGGGTTGTTAGGTTTTAGGTGGTCTTGCGTGTAGAGTTTAAAGTTTTGGGGTGGGTCTTTTCTGGGGTTTAGGGCTCGAGAATTTTTAAGGTTTAGGGTTTCTGGTTGTTAGAGCTTAGTGTTTAGGGGTTTTAGGGTTTAGGTTAAGGGCTTTTTAGGGTTGAGGGGTTTTCACGGTTTAGGGTTTGCTGGTTTCTTCGGGTGTAGGGTTTAGGGGGTTCTAGGGTTTAAGGCTTATGCAAGACATGGTGCACATCCGATGATCCAGAAGCACTCAACTTGCGGAAGCCACTACAGTGAAAACGAAGATATACGTATAGAAATCACTATCGGGCCTGTCTGTGGGCCTTCTTAGCTGATTTCCAAACTTCAGACGGATCACCAAGGCTGCAAAGGGCAATCCAATAAAGGGAGTTTCGTATTGAAAGGATGACGTACTGCTTTCCAGTAGCCCCCTCTTGTCAACATTAACTGGACCTCCTGATACAAAGACCCCTCCAATGACCTCCGTGGTCTGAAACGAATTCCAGGCACCTGTACTCTGACACCCACTCTTAAGAGAAAAGTATCCTGCACAATTGGAATACCAGCACCAAGGACACGCAGTACATTCCGCAAGATATGGCGGAAGGTTCTGATCTGGCTACCCATCGGCTGACGACGCATACTTGGACCCAAAAGCTCTTGCAAGAATTTGACCACAAGCGGTCTTGCACTAGGAAAGGCAGCTTCAAGCCTGCAATGTTTATAGGTACGTGCCATCCAGTAAGACGGACAAACATGACGTAGAGCTCAAGCAATGACATCCCATATTCAACCCAGTGTTGTGGTTGCAAGAATCCCTCCAGAATAGTTGCAAATGCAGCTGGCATAACCCAAGAACGCGGATCAACACTGGACACTTGGGGAAGATGCTGGGGTACATGTACATACAAATGCCGAAATAGAATCCTAGACTCAACCAAAATAGGTTGCTGACGGAGATGCGCGCCCGTGCCACGTCTAACCATCGTACATCCCAAAGTACACTTTGCAACATCTGTATGAAATGCATGTACAAGGACCATCTGTTTGTCATGTTGAGAGAGAGAGAGAGAGATTGAACCGAGTCCTTCTGTAAGGCAAGTGCTTGCGGGGACAGCTGCAACCACAAGTCAAAGTTAGCTCTTTTGGAGAAAACAGCAACATCCCCAATGCCAGACTCGCTGAAAGCCCCGAAACACCAACAAGCTGTCTGTGTAGATCACGCCACTGCCACCAGACATGATAGCAGCAGTCACAGCTGTAAGCTCAGCTCTGTTGTTGGATTGAATTGGCCCACGAAGGCGTGCG